TGTAATAAATAAAAAAACTGCATTTTAAACTAATGTAATATAAATATATATATATATATATATATATATATATATATATATATATATATATATATATATATATATATATATATATATATATATATATATATATATATATATATATATATATATATATATATATATATATATATATATATATAAACAAATTTTAAAATGTATTCTACAAATTAGAGAGCTCAATGTTCTTTAAAGAGCAGAGCAATAATAAATTAAATTTGTAAAAAGTCGCTTTATAATTTTTTTTCATATAACACTATGCTTCATCAATAAAGACTTATCAGAAATGCATTATTTTTGATGAGTCTTTATTGACTCATCATCATTTTTAATGAGCCTTTATTGATAAAACACAGTGTTACATGATAACTTTTTGTTAAGTGATTTTCTACTAATATATATATATATATATATATATATATATATATATATATATATATATATATATATATATATATATATATATATATATATATATATATATATATATATATATGCGTGTACCTGTGTACAAAATATTTTCTTTTGAGAGAAAAAAATTTGAGAGAGCAGCACTGTGATAAATCAGTTACATCTGAAAATGCATTATGGGCTTTGCCATCAATCAAAGTAATTTCAATTTTATGGTCAACATCAATAGACTTACAATTAAGTAGGATGTAGTTAGGTGTTTGATCTCATTTTTAATGTCAATTCCTCATTACGAAGAAGATCTGCAGTTTTCTCTACAAATTTAAATTGCAAAGGCCGACGGTAGAAAATAAATGATGGTTTAGAGTTTCTCCAAAGAATAATCTTTTTATCAATGACGATAGATCAGAGCTCTAAAGGCACAAAGCATGTAAATTCAGAGACTCCTCACTCTTCAGATTTCTAGAACACTCATCATCATTACATGTTTGTTTATAAGCACTATGCCCACTTGAGCTACCAAAACCAGATTTGCATATTAGAAATACTCTATTATACTCATTTGCATTTACAACACCAGTCTGTGTCTCAAAAAGTTTTGTTGTAGTGTGATCCAGTAGTTCTTGGAGTGGAACACTAGCAGTATAGTCAGTTACACAAATGTTTTTAGGATAGCATCGATCTTTTGCCACTTTAACTTTATTATATATTGGGTAGAGATTGCATTCCTTTTCATCAGCTTTGTTTTTTATCAGTTGATAAGATGCCTTAAATTACAATCCAAAATAATTGCCAAAGCTTCATCAATAGGGGAAGTTGAGGCACAGTGGATCGGATTTCTTTACTTTTTAAATTGACCAAAAAATAAAATATGTATTTTATTTTTTTCAAGGCAAAAGGATTGAAATATTTGTCCTTCATATGATAATAAATCACTAAAACCCAAACATTTGTTATTTAATGGCTCACAAAGGTTTAAAGTGAGTTGTATTATGTTATTCATTGTGCCCCAGCACTAAGGTTCAGTGAATAATTGAACACAGCCGTGAACTAATGATAGTTAGATAAAAAAAAAATTACCTATCAAAAACCGGTAGTCAAAAATTATGAGATAACAACTATCAATAAAGATAGCTGATGTATGAGCACATAAAATGATTACGTTATCAAGATGAACAGAACTCTAATCTTTGAGAAAATAACTCTTATTCCTTGTGCCACCGATCCAGTGTACCCCATCTTCCCCTAAACATATAAGATGGAGATATAGTACCCACTAAAAATTTTTCTGCTTATTTGGCTTTTTTAGCCTCATTATTTTTTCCAAATTTGACTTTAGTTGCAAATAATAGTTGGTTTGCTGCGTATTGATCCATTTTAGCAACTTTTCTATACTTAGATCTCAAAGAGGACTGATCAAAATTTAAAGTAGCCCTACCAAGAGGAGTGCTAACAATTGTTGGAGTAGCAGGTGGAACATATGTAGAAGGTATAAAGTCAGAATCCAACGATTTTCCAATCTTTTTCTCAAATGGTGCAGCTTTGCGGCTAACATCATTCCAACAAGACTTAAAGTTCTTTAAGAATGCAATTAATTTGTTTTTATAATTTCAGAATCATTTAAGTCTAACTTGACAACTAATTGATCATAAATTGTTGGATCTTGTATAGACATATTATTGGATCAAATGCAGTTGTATATATATAATGGTACTTCATTGTTGTATTATTATTTATTGTAAAATTAGAAAAGTCAACCCATTTATATATATATATATATATATATATATATATATATATATATATATATATATATATATATATATATATATATATATATATATATATATATATATATATATATATATATATATATATATATATATATATATATATGTATGTATATATATATATATATATATATATATATATATATATATATATATATATATATATATATATATATATATATATATATATATATATATAATTTAATATATTTTGCTTAATCTAATATAATATAAATTAAATGTAGTTGGCAATTATTTTACTGACAATATCTAAGCAACCTGTTTATATAGGGTTTTTGTATTATCAATAATATATATTAATATAAAAAAAAATGTTTTATAGGCAGTTGTCACGGTATAAAATCATGTGTAATGTTTTAGTTACATATTCTACATCTGCAAGTATCTGCAACCAAAATTGCTTTTAACTTATTAAATATAATTTTTTCAGTAAATATCAGCCATAAAAACCCTGGCCAAACATGGCCAAAAAAATATAAGCATAGTATTAGCAAAAAAATGCAATTATTTCAACCATTAAGCACACTGTCTTTGATTGATCATTAAATGAGTTAAATAGGTTCAAGAAGATAAACAGAATTGCCAATTGATAGCCAATATATGTATTAAAACTACAATTCAAATTCGTAGTAATATAAATGATCTAACAATAAATGACAACACATATAAAACAAACATTTATTTAAACTTTTTTAGAAAAGCGCTTGACCGCATAAAATATTGTTCAGGGTGACAACTTAAAATTAAAAAATTTTAGTGAAGGCGCATTTTTTAATTAACAATCCTAATGTTTTTATGTAAATCAATGTTACCTTCATTGAATAGTAGTTTTTTAAGTTAAAATTGAATAAAAATAATTTTGATTTTCATTACAGGTTCTGAAGGAATTCAAGAAAATTACAACAACATCAAGAAAGTACTCTCTTGCATCAATTTTGGTCCCTCCAAATATTTCATTTTTGTTTGAATTTAAAATTGGCTAAAATTTTGTGTTGGTTTTAGCCCCATGTTTCTGCACATCCATGCATCTGATGTAATGCAAGCTCCAATAGTCTTGACAAACCTGGAACACTAAAGAGTTTCGAATTTCTGAAAGAATTACTCAAGAAAATTTAAAGCTGGCGGATTTAGCATGAATAAAGATAAATGTTTTTAAAATATGGTACATGAGCCTTTCTTGCTTTGGGGGATGAAGCATATGTGTTGAAATAAATTTCACTTCCAGATCTGTATCTGTTACTATGAGTAATCAATCGTTTGTTTAAAATCTTGAAGGAAACTTGGATGAAAACAGTTGGTTAGTTGCAAGCTTTACACATTCAACCCCAGGCTTATCACAGTGGCCAAATTGCCAGAAACAATTGTTACAAGTTTTTGAAAAAGTGGACATCCTCCAAAATCTTGCTAAAAAAATGAGACTTTTCAAGTTTTTGACATCATTAAAGCATTCCACTCATTCAGTGTTGTTGTATGCTTTAGAATAAATCATTACACAAAATATGCTGAAAAGATTGGTGGTTTCCGAGCATCTTACTTAGCTCTTCAAAAAAACTAGTGTAACTCCAAAAATCCATGCAGTATTTTTCCACATCAAAGACTTCTTTGAGCTCCAAAAACCTCTTAGCATCTTCAAAAAACGAAGCGTTGGGCAATTCATCACAAATTTGGTGCCAAATGGATGCGGTGTAAGAGACCGAATTCTCACCCGGATTATAATAAATTCTTACTTTCTTGTGTGGTTGATTTAAATAGCAAACTTATATGATGCTTTGTTTTGAATATTTTTAGAACGATTATTTGTTTAAACATCTTTAATTATATAATTATGTTGTTTACAAGTATCTGTTTTAAAGAATAAAAAAGAGAAAAACTAAGTTCTGCCCAGTATTTTAACTTATTGTGTTGTTTTATTGTTGTTGTCATTGTTTTTATTTTATATTATGTTTGAATAATATTAATAAAATTTTGTGCCTCCAATGCTGTAAAAGGACAAATTCTGTCATTCCTTAGTTCACTGCAAACTTAAAAATAAAAACTCAATTTTCTTTCTCGGACATAATAAAACTATTTAAGTTTTTAGATAATTTAAATCCTGAGACCATGGGTTATCATCCCCTTTTTACAGTTTCTTTGGAAAAGCACTTGACACGGTACTCAAATTTCAGGTACTTGTGGCTTAGGTGTAAATGATTTTGTAAATAGGTTTTTAGATATAGAATCTAGTCAAATTTAAATTTTAGCAACAGTTTTTACCATGCAACTAGTTTCAACTATAACAGCACAAATAAGTTATAAGTTATAATTAGCTACTTTTTTGAATCAATGAATACGGTTGCACATGAGAGTAAAAACCTGCTTACTATTAACAAGAATAATTAGATAATCATCTTTTGTTGATAAAAAACATTCACTCATCTAATTACTAAGTATCAATTAGAGCTTGTGAGTTCGGTTTATTACTTACTATTTGTTATCATAAAGTTTGCATCACGTTATTATATTGTTAGCTTGAAGTTGGATGTCTGGTTGTTATCCAATGACATTTTGTTTAAATTTAATTCTTTTTTACATATAGAAAATAGATTTACTAAGATGTTTAACATGTTACAGAAAAATTAAGCGTTTCAATTTATTATTGCTAATGTATAGTTGGAATTTTCTACAAACAAAATAATTATTCGTAGTTGCATAGAAAATGTTTTCAACATTTACTACGCGGTGTCAAAGAATTGTTTAAAATTGGATTAAAATTGGCATTTATTCTACAAAAATAATTAAACCCAGCCAATTTATATGATTACGAACTCAAAGCGCTGTTCTCTGAGATGATATATTGTAAAAAAAATTGTCAATTTTATTTAGTTATTCACGAAATTTTTTGAAAATAAGTATCAAAAATCTTGCGTCACTTGCTTTCTCAATTACTTTTTTTGAATGTTTGATTTTTTTGTGTCATTTTTGTTTTTCGCAACTTTTTTTACATCTTTTTTCTCAAGGGTGTCTTTATCTTTTTCTTCAACGGTGTCTTTATTAATATAAACATTTATTGTAGCTGATTTAATTTTCGAAGTTTTTGTTTCTTCTTTACCATAATTGTTCCATTTTTTTATAGCTTCATATCTTTGAATAGTATTGTCAACATCTTCATGTTCTTTCTAATTTATATAACACAAAAATCTATATCTCCAATAAATAAGTATGTAAAATAATGTCGCTTAAGAAACAACACTACCTAAGTGACAAGAAGTAAACCTTTAAAGAGAGATGAAGTATCCAACGAGATAAAAAAAACACAATTTTCCTCCAAAATGTAACTTAGGCGTTGTTGTTTCTAAAGTGTATGTATATACAGAACACACTCCATACACAGAGACGGTTCTACGGAGTGTGTTTTGTATATAACAGAACACACTCCGTAGAATCATCTCTGTGTATGTATGTACGTATGTATGTGTATATGTATGCAAACATATATGTGTAAATATATACATGAATGCATGCATGAATGAAAGTATGTTTGTATGTATGTATGTATGTATGTATGTATGTATGTATGTATGTATGTATGTATGTATGTATGTATGTATGTATGTATGTATGTATGTATGTATGTATGTATGTATGTATGTATGTGTATGCATGTATATAAATATGATGCAGGTTGTTAATAAAAGTAATTCAAAATTTTACCTTTTTTACAGCTTCAGAACTTGTTAAGTATGCCGCGTCTTCGATATTTGTTACAGGGTTTACAACTTCGTAAAATGTTGTAGCATCAGTTTCTATTTTAGGCTTACTTGATGATGTTTGACGTAGCTTCGCTTTCCTGCACAAATAAAAAAATATAATATATATGTATATATATTATATTTTTACATATATATATATATATATATATATATATATATATATATATATATATATATATATATATATATATATATATATATATATATATATATATACACATATATATATATATATATATATATATATATATATATATATATATATATATATATATATATATATATATATATATATATATATATGTATATATATATATATATATATATACACATATATATATTATGTTAATATTTCCAGTAAGTGTGCTCAATACAGCGTTTTATATAATTAGTAGAGCAAATAATATAGTGAATGCTAAATAATTATTAAGATATATTTCAATTACAAAACTTAAAGTTTCACGCAATAGCGATCATCAGATGTAACAACAATAAAAAGTAACGACAAAAATTATTTACAAAAAATGCTATGGATATATATATATATATATATATATATATATATATATATATATATATATATATATATATATATATATATATATATATATTTATATATATATATATATATATGTATATATATATATATATATATATATATATATATATATATATATATATATATATATATATATATATATATATATATATATATAAATGGAAAATATCAACGCATATACAACAAAATAAAATAAACCTATTTATCCGTCTATTAAATAATAAAGTAAATTTTGTAATCATTGATTCCCAGCTTAACTATTGTTCAGTAAAACATTCATTTTTAGATGCCATAAAGGAATTATGTAAGACCCTAAAACTAAATACGAAAAACATAATTCAGGTTAAGAAGAAAAATGAAATTAAAATTTCAGAAAATATAATTCCTGAAGATACTTATCAAGTTCTAGTACAGGCAGTTCGATGTTGGAATGCAAAGCAACAGCAAACAATTTTCAAAAAAGCTCTTGAAGAGAACATTCCCAAGTTATCTTTTTATTCTCTCTGGTATTTTAAACTATTCTTTATGTGAAACGCCCTCTTTAAAAATGTTTAAAGAGGGTGTTTAATAAAATAGTAATAATAATGTTATATATATGTGTATATATATATATATATATATATATATATATATATATATATATATATATATATATATATTATATCTTATATATATATGTATATATATATATATATATATATATATATATATATATATATATATATATATATATATATATATATATATATATATATATATATATATATATTAGGGATATCCACTTTGTTGGTCATGTTAAAATTTTAATGTATTGCATATAAGTGGCGCAGAGGTCATATTTACATATGAAAAAAAATTTTTTTAATGGGAAAATGACTGGAAGTATTAGCGCCACAAGTCAAAAGTTTCGTTTTTTGTTCTTTTTGACCAATTTTACACCAAGTTTTGACGGCGCGAATAGTATCCTTATTCTAAATTATTTAAAAAATATTTTAATTTGTATGTTATAGTCTTAACTAACAAATAAGAATTAATGTGTTCTTACATATAATAGACCTGTGTTCTTACATATAATAGACAGTTTCTTACATATAATAGACCTATCTAGTTAAAACAAAACCTTAAAAATCACTATAATAGGATGTTTTAATCAAAAAGAGTGTTTAAATAATAAACACAATTATTTCCATTGCTTCTAAAAATATTTTCCATCTTAACTCCACTTCTAGAATTAAGAGTTTACAAAGAGGTGACTTTAAAATGTGGATTTTACGAGCGTGTTGTGGTTACCTTGGGCCTCTTCGCCTTATGTTAAATTGGCAACTGGGAGAGCAAGGAGTCGTGACCCCACTGTGTAAAAGTAGAAACAAAAAATCTCTTAATAATTAGATAAATATTAATTATAAGCTTAGACATGGCCCTCCAGTTTGAAAAACGCTTTGCTGACTAAGGAAGAACAAGCTAGAGTGCGATGAAAATTAGCTAAGAAATTGTTTAATTGGTAGCCTATATAGTCAGCACAAAACTAAATAAATTAATATAATACGATCTTTCAATCAAACAGAGTAATCAATAATATATATTTTAAAGCTATTGTATTTACAAATCAATTAGGCATTTGCATTTTTATAGAAATGTAATGAGCATTTTACAAAGAGGTATTACTGGGTAGTTTTGCTAGAATATGAGGATCCAGAGCAAAAGATACTGTCTGTGAAAAAAATAATGTTGGAGCGACTGCAGTAGCTGACTCCATGTACGCATTTTTTGTCTTTTTTCCTGGTTTTTTCCCTGCATTTTTTAGTTGGAGTAGATCCGGCAGCTTTCGTTCACTCTTGACGCGCTCAACATTGTCTTGGATAAGTTTTTCAGCTCTTTCTGACGAATCGTTGACCACATTAACAGATTTAACAAAATTCTGTAACTCAAGATATTCTGGAAATTCTTTCCAAAAAATTTGCGGAAGTTTCATCCAGATGCGTTTTTCCATATTATGCTATAGAATGATGAAGATTAACCATGATTCGGTAGAAACATAAAAAGCTAAAGACGGGGGGAATGATCCTTATGCTGCAAAACACTGGTAGCATCTGTAAGAACTGCTCTGACTATCATAACGTAAACATAACATTATTGTTATTGTCATCTCTCTCGGTAAAGTATAGCAACTCCGCCATTTCTTCCATGTCCTTGTAATGGCTACTGTCGGAACAGGCTAGCAACATTATAACTATAGATAGATCTAGGTGCCAGGTATGATTTTCCCATGATTTGACAACAACTTTGGCTGCAGGCTCAAATTTAGCAAAGTGGCACATCTGCCAGTTGCTCATCTGATCCTATAGAAAATTTAGGTGTTGTTATTTAAGTTATTAACATTTTAACTATTATGGTAATTTAAGAAGTTAGTTTCTATACCAAACCTGTAAAACTGCAGAATCTGTAAACTCGCATGTCAGGAACCATGGAGCCCAGAACAGTGCAATATACTCAGCCATCCTATTAATCTCTTTGATAATGTCTTCACTCAGATTAATGATCAGTCTGATCCTTGGCAGCAGTAGCTCAAACTTCATGAAGTTAAGAGCCTTGCCCATAATTCTTGCATATGAGATAGCTCCAGTTTTTTAAATGCTATACCTGGTAGCCTGATCTTTATCAAGATACATAATTAAAAGCTCAGCTAATTAGTAGTATTCACCACGTTTATTCAATGTCTAATTAAAAAATAGAAATAGTGAAAATTTTAGAAACAACAGTATAGATGTACAAAAAGCTATTGTTTGTTTTTAGTACTTAAAATTTAATTTTTCAACTTACCTCAGTGTTTCTCAGTATACCTTAGTCCTTGAGGTGTTTGGAGTCTTTCAGTGCTAAGCACGCTTGATTCTCCACCCAGTTACCACTGAAATTTTGGTGGTTGAATTTGACTAACTCCTTCACTTGATTCCCGTCATTCGTGCGATTTTCAAATTAATTTTAATTAGTGCGATTGTAAAATTACTGGTGCATTAGTCTTGGTAACTATTTTACTTATATTACCTTTTAGAATAGCTGCACCCTCCCGTATGATTCTGTCAGATATTCTGTGACCGAAGCTGAGGGATAATGTAATATCATCAATATTTCCACCAGCACTGGTAACGACAGAACTTATAAAGTGCTTTTGCTTGATTGTTGGAAATTACCATTCCAATTGCAGTTCTAGCAGTTTTTGACACAATATCTCTAGGGAATATGAGTACCTGACATTTAACAGCTTTCTTGATTTTGGGTCAAGTTATCTCAAAATCCTCATCATCAAAACTTTGATCAGTACACTCATGTTAACAATCATTAAAACTAGCTTTATTTTCAGTTAAAAATCTTGCCGATATTTCTGTTTCTGCCTATACAGAAGATATTTCCTGACTTAATTTTGCTCTCGCACTGACCTGCTCAAAATGACCATCAAGTTCTCCAATCACAATTTTTCGGCTTTCCATCTGGCCCTGAATAAAAAGTAAATCTTCTTCCTTGTCCGATATCAGTATGCGTCTATTAGGCTGCAAACTTATGTGAAGAATTTCTAAATCATCACCCGCCCAAAACAATCCTATAAAAAAAAACTGTATATTTAAATTTTGTAGAAAGTTTAAAAAAAATGTTGATGTGGGTTACATATAATATAAAAAAGGACTGCTAAGGTTTATTCAGTTCACTTTATAGAAACACATAAGTGCCCAATAGGGAAAAATTTGCTAGTCAAAGTTTACTTTTGATTCACAAGAGTTTGTATTACTGCTATATTTTTAATCTTGACTTATCTGTTAAGTTTTGTCCATTTTAGGCATTTCTTTACTTCTGTTACCTTTTAAAGATATCTTAAACTTTTTTCGAGTACCATCATAACTAACTCCCACTTTGTACTGAGATTTTTTTAATATTTTAAATTTTTTTACATAATTCTCAACTTGGGCTTTCAGGTTGTTATCAGTAATGACCCTGAAGCCTATCCTTCTTCATGGAACCAAAATTCCAGAAAGAATACAACCAAATTCACAATAAACACTATCTTTAATGCACGATAATCTAAACGAAAACCTTTTTTTGAATAATATTTTATTAATATTCTTCAAAAGTTCTTCCGTGGACGGAGTGAATATAAATACAATACAGATATTATAATTGATGTAAGCCAAAAATATTTTTGGTGTTACTTATATATATTGTTAAAAATTCTTACTTATTTTGATGAGAAAAATAAAAGGCTAACCTGAATGTTTTGTTTGCAAGAGGAAAAGCAATTAAACGTTTCAGCGCCATCTTTGGAAATCATTCTTTTAGGAACAGATAATGTTGAATAATGTGCTTCCTCAGAGAAAGCTGGCTTCTTTTTATCTTTTCCAAGGTAACCCCTACATAGAATCTTGTTCTACGAGTAGACCTCTTAGGAACATTTGGTTTTTTTCCTTTTTTTCCTATTACATGTTCTTTACTGGAATCCTCAGTTCCAAGCCTCGTGACATATCTAGATACCCTTGTTTTATCTGACAGAAAGATTTTGGGATTAATAATTTTGCCCTATTTTATCTTATTTTAAAAACCTATTTAATTAATATAACTATTTAATAATATTATAATAAATATATAAACAAAATAATATAATAATTTATAATAACAATAACAAACCTACTTGATTAAGGAAAACCTAATTAAATTTAAAAATCTAATTAAAAAAAACTGAAACATTTTTATTCATAAAAGTTTATCGATTTACTTTTTTTTCTTTAAATGATGATAATTGATATCAATCACCGTAGAAAGCTCTGAAACAATTTATGGCGATTACGTGGTTTTTGATTCACATTGCTCTCAATTAATAAATTTGTTAATATATTAAGGGGTTTTTTAATGACAATTTTTATGGTATATTTGTGGATTGTTTTTATAAATTTAAGTAAATATTTGTAAAAAACAAAGTTAGATTTTGTGAAAATAAAAAATAAGTTAAGTTGTTGTTGTAAGAAAATAAGAACCAATAAAAAAAAAAAAACTTTGGTATTTTTTTTGGTCATTGTAAAAAATATGTAAACCTCTTGTTTTGCTGTTTTATAATTTTTTTGCTTTTTAGAAATAATAAAATAGGTTATATAACTTGAATAATTTTTACACACTAATTCTTTATTTATCAATGAATTTCATTCATACAATATATATATATATATATATATATATATATATATATATATATATATATATATATATATATATATATATATATATATATATGTATATATATATATACCCAGTGGGCACACGACGTTATTTCGACGTTGATTTACAGTTGATTTTTAGTCGCGACGTCGTATAACCAAAAATCAACGTTGTATCAACGTTGAAAAATTTGTTTAAAACTATCAAATAAAATCGACGTTGATTCCACGTTATTTCAACGTCTATATTACGAGTTCGACCGTTCGTAATTGCAATATGAGAACTAAAATACGCATGCGTGACTTAAAATTTTTTTTATTAGCTTAACAAATAATGAGTAAAGTTATTTATTAGCCAAATAAAAACAAGAAAAGTCACCCATGCTAATAAATTAGGCCATCTGTTGCCTTTTTATAAGGTTTTGAATTTGACGATTTAACAATAATACATGGCTCAACTTGTGATGCATTTAGTAAGGTAAATATTAAATGGATATTTCTTTACGACCGTATTATTTCATGAATGTGGATTACAAGTAGAGATTACTTGATATATTATATAAATATAAAATATATATTATATATGTTTTTTTTATATATATATATATATATATATATATATATATATATATATATATATATATATATATATATATATATATATATATATATATATATATATATATATATATATATATATATATATATATATATATATATATATATATATATATATATATATATATATATATAAATAGGGAAGAGTTACCTTAATTGGAACAGTAAAGTAATAATTATTTATTAACCTAAGATGGCTTTTTACTAACTAATGGAAAGTTTTATTGTGTTGAATTTGTGTATGAAAATAAATGATGTTTTACAAAATAATGATTTATCAAGCTTTTTTACCAATCCATGTGATTTAAAGAGTTTGAATATTTTTTATATTAAAAAAATTTTATCAAATTTTTAAAGATTTTTCTTGTAAAGTTGTTTAAAAAAGGATTTGTGCTTGCTCCTTTAGTAGGTTGGTAGAAGAATCAACATTAAAATTTAGCAATTTTTAACAATTGTATAATGTATCATAACGTACAGTTTAAAGTTGTATTTTTCTGTTAGCTATTTTACATGAACAAATTTTTAATATATGAGTATTTTTTCTATTATATTTTCTACTATACTTTTCCAGTTGAAAAAGTATAGTTGGGCAAGCAAAATGTTCATTCGAGCTGTTTGGATAAAAAATACAGAGAAATAAAGTGAGAAAATTCAATCGATAATTTTTATGTGCTGGCTATCATCATTAAATGTAATAAATTGTTTCAATGAAATGCATAAACCGCATCTAACTAATTCAGATTTACGCTGCTCAAAATTAAATGTCATGGAGTTAATGTAATTTTTTTTTTATATAAACATTAAGTCATTACTTTTTTTCCTTGTTTTTTTAACATGCTTTCATTCTGTATATGTTGTTTTCAGTGTTTAGATATATTCTTTATTATATATTCTTTATTATATAATGTATTTAAAATCATGAGTTATGTAATAAATTTAAATTTGCCACTACTAGTGATACTCAGATAGAATCAGATTCAGAAAACGGTAACTATTTTAAAAGATACTTAATTCAAGTATTATTAGTTTTATTTTGATATTAATTTTTATAGAAGCTACTACCATGCTTATGCAAGAGAAAACATAATAACCAACAGAATAGTAAGCAAGTACCTACTCCTGTAACGCAAAAAAAGAAACAGAAAACAATTTTTATGCATACTCCACATACTGTAGCTCAAGGTATTAATTGTCTGTCTGTAAATTGATTTAGGAAGAAAAGATTCTGAACATTTTTTTCTATGCTTCAGTGATTTACACATTTTATTGGTTGCTAAATTAATACATTTTATTTAGTTTATGAATAATGTTTTATTTTATAAATGTTTTGTTCTTGTGTTTCAACCCTTTTAGAAATTAATTAATGTTTGGTTCTTTTGTCTTTCTGATATATTTTTATTGTTAGAAAGAGATGTTAGTAAAAACTCTTTCCAGTAATTAAAGTAATATCATGACAAATAGTTCTGAAAATTCTATGGATGAACTTGCAGCAGTAATTTAATGATTATGATAACAGTTTAAATGATTCTTGGGTGAGGTCAAAAGTGATGGGTTGTTTTAAACCATGACTTTTTGCAGTTTTTTAAATTGGTTTTTAAAAAAGTATTTATTAATAACTTATTTTAAGTTAATCTACTTTTTATAAATGTACCATAAAAATAATGTTGTGTAATTATTTTCTTAAACCTTTAGGTTAACTAACTTTCTAAAATTGGAGATAAAACCATTAAGACAAATACAAAAAATGTGATGCAAAGGTTTGTTAAAAGTAGTTTTAAATAAAAATTCTTTTGAATCTTTTTATTATAGTTTGTTTTAAACTTGTGTCAAAAATATATTTAGCATATATTTTTAAAAGTTTGACAAATTCTAATCAGACATAAAATAAATCTTTTTTTTTGTCTGATTTTGTCTTGATTTTTTTTTAAACTGTTTTCTCTTACTTTTGTATTTCCTTGAGCTAAAGAACAACCTTAAAGTACAAAGGTTGATTTGTAATGCATACCTGACCTTTTTTTTTACTCGATATATATACATACATATATATGTACATAAATAAACATACATATATATGTATATATATATACATACATATGCTTAAATGAATATATTATATATATATATATATATATATATATATATATATATATATATATATATATATATATAAAAAATAATGGTACAATTTAAAGTTTTTTCTTTTATTTGTAAAGTTGTACTAGATAAAAATTAACAAATAAAATTGAACATTTTGAATATTTATTGATTATTATGATAAATTATATAAAATATATACAAAGTATAAATATTTTGCAAAAACACTTTTATTTGCTATATCTGCTTCAACACATTGTGGCATGCTTGCAATTTATTTTTTATAGTTTCTGTCAACTTTGGGTTATTATGCCAGATCTTGATAATCTCTTCCATAAAATCTTGCTTATTAGTAAGATTTTTTTTTTCCAATCTCTTGCTTTATTATTTCCCAAATGTTTTCTATGGGGTTAAGATCATGCAAGTTGTCTGACCATAGCAATACATCAACTAAGCCATAACAGTTTTCATTGTGTGGCAAGTTGCACAATCTTTCATAAATATAAGATTTTTGACATTTGTTTTAATATTTTTGAATTTTTTTGTCATTTTTTGACATTTTAGGCTGGACATCAATCCCTCTTCTTTTAGCTTTCTACAAATGGTCCGGTCTGACACAACAATTACAGCTTTATGGATAAGCTTAGTCAATAAGTTTATACTGTGTGCTCTTGGTGCTTTCTTGCGTTTAGAAGGTGGTCTCCTTAGACCAAACTCTTCCCCTGTATAAATTCTTTTTCTTACTTGCATTACGGTTTGGTAAGAAACCTTTTGCGTTGGGTGAGAAACCTTTGGTAAGAAACCTTTATGCAATTTTTCATTAAGAATAATTTGTATTTTGTAAAAGACATGTTTATCAATTTTTGTTACTATGATATTAATAACAATGTATAATGTAGGTTGTTGACCAATGGTTTATAATCAAAATTTAATATGGCTGACGGTAAAGGTAAAGAGAAATTTAAAGGAACAAACATTAGGTATTTACTTGTAAGTTAAGTGTAAAATTATATATTTTTAAAAATCACAGTTCGTTTTTTTAATGCTATTTTATTTTTAACTTTTTGATGTATTTGATGAAAATTACTCAGGCAATACCTTTTTTATAGAGAGAGTTTTGTCAATTAAAGTGACTGCTACAGTTGCCGAAATAAGAAAAGGAATAATGAATTTATTAAAATACGCACTCGACAGATCAAATGGTGGTGGTCGGCGCGTAAAAGGCGATTAACCCGATGTATAACATTCATACTTTTTCCTAGTTGTTCTGGAACTATTGATAATAGTTATTATTGATAAATTGATAAATATAATACTGATAAATAAAACTTTTTTTTTTCAAACATTTTATTTTATTTGCATTGTATATAAAGTCCGTTGAAGCAATTTAGTTGTATCTGATTAATTTACGTGAAATATAATATCCTCTGCGCAAATTATTGCTTTTTTATTGTGTTAATTTATTGCAATTAAAGTTGAGAAAATTTTTTAGTTAATTGGATTTAACCAAAATAAAAAACAAAAATCAACGTTGAATTTACGTTGTTTCAACGTTGTTTTAACGTCTTATCAACTAAGTATCAATCGAATATATCACCTATTCAAAGTTGAAATATGGTTGATATGTAGTCGATAAGACGTTAGATCAACGTTAAAACGACGTAATCATCGACGTTGTTTCAACGTCGTAGTTTTCGACGTCGGATTTTCTTTCCAATTCAACCAAATTTCAACGTTGTTTCAACGTGGCATATGGTCGGTTTGCGACGTTGTTTCAACGTTATTTCAACGTCATTGTGCCGGCTGGGTATATATATATATAATATTTGTATATATATATATATATATATATATATATATATATATATATATATATATATATATATATATATATATATATATATATATATATATATATATATATATACAAATATTATATATAAAAAAGATTTGAAATCTTTTTTTAAATTTATACTTGAAGGGCTTATAAATGCTGTTATCAAATCGTATGATAGAGTTTTGGCTAAAAATATTTTTACCAATTTTTTTTTTTTTTGATTTGTTTTTTAGATGCTCCAAGAAGACCTAACGGTCTTGTTACAGAGCACCGCGGATGTGCATTTAACCAAGAAGCTCACGCCTCCTTCCTTACCGTGACGCGAATATGTCCAAACCTCGTTTCCAACCTGGATCTCCTGCTTATAAAGCTGTGCTCTAACCATCTGGGTTGCATATGAGAAAAGCGCTCTAACTATCTGGGTTGCACATGAGCAAAGAGTAACAACCAAAATTTGGTTTTTGATTCAAAAATGTGAATCAAAAACCAAAATTTGGTTTTTGATTCACATTGCTCTCAATTAATAAATTTGTTAATATATTAAGGGGTTTTTTAATGACAATTTTTATGGTATATTTGTGGATTGTTTTTATAAATTTAAGTAAATATTTGTAAAAAACAAAGTTAGATTTTGTGAAAATAAAAAATAAGTTAAGTTGTTGATGTAAGAAAATAAGAACCAATAAAAAAAAAAAAACTTTGGTATTTTTTTTGGTCATTGTAAAAAATATGTAAACCTCTTGTTTTGCTGTTTTATAATTTTTTTGCTTTTTAGAAATAATAAAATAGGTTATATAACTTGAATAATTTTTACACACTAATTCTTTATTTATCAATGAATTTCATTCATACAATATATATATATATATATATATATATATATATGTATATATATATATATATATATATATATATATATATATATATATATATATATATATATATATATAATATTTGTATATATATATATATATATATATATATATATATATATATATATATATATATATATATATATATATATATATATATATATATATATATATATATATATATATATATATATATATATATATACAAATATTATATATAAAAAAGATTTGAAATCTTTTTTTAAATTTATACTTGAAGGGCTTATAAATGCTGTTATCAAATCGTATGATAGAGTTTTGGCTAAAAATATTTTTACCAATTTTTTTTTTTTTTGATTTGTTTTTTAGATGCTCCAAGAAGACCTAACGGTCTTGTTACAGAGCACCGCGGATGTGCATTTAACCAAGAAGCTCACGCCTCCTTCCTTACCGTGACGCGAATATGTCCAAACCTCGTTTCCAACCTGGATCTCCTGCTTATAAAGCTGTGCTCTAACCATCTGGGTTGCATATGAGAAAAGAGCTCTAACTATCTGGGTTGCACATGAGCAAAGAATAACAACCCAATAAAGTGTGTGCAATAAAATAATGTTATTCAGCTTAATTTCCATGCAGTTAAATGTTGGCTTTCGTTGATCTACTGAAGATTTCTTAGGCTTTTGATTATTCAATAGGTCTAAACGAAGAAAAATCTGATCATAAAATAACAGTTGTTATAAATATTATTTATTATTATATAATATTTATAATTAGTTATTATTAAATAAATTACTTACCTCAATGTGCTTTTCAGTTGCTTGCTTTTCGTTTGTTTTGCTTTTCTTGTGCAAAATTATTCAAAATAGTATAGTAGATGCAAATATTTAAATGGAAGCTTCGCATTTTAGAATAAATTTCCGTGTTATAAAATGTTTATTTTTGGAAAACTCTAGAACATTTGGTGACGGTTTTTAATAAGTAGTCATATTTAATACGCTTAAGTCGTTTTTAATGTCAAGATTTGTGGATTTTATTCAATAATAACTTAAAATTTAAAATGTGATTTTCATTTATTGAAAGAAAAAGTTTGGTTTGTTGAAGAAAAATACCTTAATTCAATTTTTTGTAATTGAAGCGACAAAACACTCTGGTATAAACTGCTTATTGAATGTAACCTACTTCTTGAAAAATTAAAAAAACAATTTCTAAACAGTGCTAATTAAACTTGAGCTGTCCTTATTAAAACTGAGCTGTGTAAAAATTAAAAAAACCTCAGGAAGCAACTTGTTTGCGAGACAATGAATATTAGAAATAATGACATCTAAACCCCAATGACTGGTTAAAATAC